TCCGGCGTCTGTGTATGGCTAGAATCGGAGTTGGGCAGCAAAACTGCCCCGTGCGCAGAGAGAGGGGCAAGTGAGGAGAGGTGGAGTTTGCTGTAACCCCCAATGCAAAAAAGCGAAAAGGAAAGAAAGAAAAAAAGACAGAGGCCAAGACCGTCTGATAGCTAGCTAGCCTCCTAGCGTAACAGTTGTTCTGGGGTGGGGCTTGTTCGTGGGGTTTTTTCTTCCGTAACAGTACCCTAAGAAAAAATATCCGTGAAAGACGAGCATCAAAAAGCAAAAATTACCGCAGTCGTATTATTCATCGTTTTTTCCCGCTTTGGGAAGGGTATTACAGATGAGGGGAAGCAACAGGGCAGGAAGAGCTTGGCTTTCTTGAGCTTGGCTGGAAGATCGAATGACAATACTCCATTGGAAAAGAGAAGTGTCGATTTGTTCTGGATGTTCCAATTGTGGATTGGGACAGAGTCGGCATCGTCCATGCTGGACCCTTCTTTTTTTTCAGATCGAGGTTTTTTTTCTATTTTTGTTTTTTTCAGGGTCTTTCCTTGTTGATGACGAGAACACGGCCAGTTGTGGCGGTGTTGATCTGGATCATCAGGGTCTTTTGAGAGGTTCATGATGGGTGGTTGATGACGCAGATCGTGGATGAATGGAAGACAAAACTGACTGAACCATTCCCAACAAGAGAGACCATGTGAAGGGAAGAAGAAGAAGAGAGAATCGAAACGGCCGGCCCGGAAATCTGCAAGACAGCGAGAGCTGTCACAGCCAACCACCAAACCAGCCCACTTCGTCTTTGGACAACTGGACAAAAACATCCCACTTCTTTTCTCTCTAGAAGACAAGCGCGGGGTTCGGCGTCAACGGTGGAAAATATGACAAGTTCATCACTTATCCGGGGGGGGCGACTGTCGTTTCCCAGTGCTACTCTGCAAGTCTGATCATATTAGACTGACACTATGCAGATATTCCGGCTTTCCTACAGCTTTCCCCCGCGCCAACACAAAATCGGGCTTACCCGCCACGGCCGCCGTTCGCCTTCAAGGTCACATCCGGCGGTATCCCCAAGGAGTTGGAAAAGTTATTGAGCGCAGCGCTTGGGCAAAGTTGATGAGGAAGGAAACTTTGAACAAGTCTTTTTTTTTGAGCGAGTGTTCACACGAGAGGTGACTGTAGGTCGTGCATTGCATCATGCACATACCAATCAGTTCAGGAGCTGTTCGTCCGTTCAGAAAGAGTAAGGTAGGGTTGGTTTCACGGGTGGCGAATTCTCCGCGTTACGTGAGGCAGGTTTGAACGATCGTGAAGAGTCAAGTTCGATGTGTGGGTTTAACTGTTGAGGTGTGAGTGGGGAGGTGCAACAGGAGAGGGAGCGATCTTTTTCTTGCGCAGCAGTGCCTTGCGGCCTACCAGATGCAGTAGGGTTGTCTTTTACCCCGTGTCCGTATTTCCGCCGGAGGAAAGCTGGAGAGGTCGGGAGACAGACAGACGGAGGGAGACGTCAATATTGACAGGCAGCAAGCAGCCACAGCGGATATGACAGTGGTACTCTGCCTGTATACTGTACGGTGCCTGGACTCGTCATGAGAGGAGTGGCACAACACACGGAAATCAGGCTCGGGATTGCTACCTTCTTTCCTTTCAAACCGTTTTGCAGGATTGACCACTTCGGCTTTCCCATCAGAGACGCTGGAAGTTCTCCATGCAAATGTTCGGAGTCGGTACATGTCCAGGCCGACATGTAGCCCCAACGTAGAAGGACCTCATCATAACCCATCATATGAACGGAGGTTGTACCCAATCTTTGATTTATGCCGCATAAAGGCTCACATAATGTTAGTCTCTCACTGAGGTGTTGACACAGCGGACGAATTTCCGCTGCAAGCACCACCACCTGCATGGCATAAACCCAAAGCATCCCAAGCATCAGAGCTGCAACTTGAGGCATCAACTCCTGCAGTAGCCGAGACGACTGTCGTCAAGACACGCACGCACCCTCTAGAACAAATGTTTGTATGACGGACATGTGACAAGCACTTCATATCCCATCCGTTCAATTTCAACATGCAAATCAGTCTTGAAGACTTGTTTGTCTGTAGCTTCTGGGTAGGTAGGCACGTCGTGGATAAGATAACCGGTACTGCAAATCAGTCATAGATAGGTATAATAACTCTCAACTTACCTTATACCTGTTTAGATAAAGAATAGGCTTTTTAAATCTTTTAAGGCCTCTTAACTATCTTTCAAGGCCTCGTAACTATCTTTCAAGGCCTCGTAACTATCTTTTGATATGTGGTTCAGGATACTATCCTCTGTTGCCTTGACTGTTTACAGTGCCAGTTGTTCTGTCCATGGCATGGTGGGGTTCCTTAGAATCAACATCCTCGAAACTCCCTCACGCTTGCTTCACTTTCCGTGCCTGAGGATTCAGTCTCTGCCTATGGCAGGGACACACATTTCCAGGCCGCACCCTCCAACGGCTTCACAACGTTACCCTGATGAGCCTCAGAGATAAGACATATCCCGCCACAAAGGGATTGGAACCACGCTCTCTTCAAATCGGCAACAAATTACATCCATCACATGCACTTTTGCTGTTGCACAAAAGACTTACAGAGCCCAGTAGGTAGACAGCAGAGGGTAGGCAAGCCCATGGATGAGGGAACAGACCATCTAAATGAATGGGCATGGGGGAAAAAAGGCAGATAATGCAAGATCTCGATCGAGCCCTCTAGGCCATTGGATGCCATCCTCCCGCGTCAAAAGACCAACCTAGCTGCAAGCCTTGGGCAGAGATGCATGATTCGTATTTTGGCAGCCGCCAGAAGAACTCTTGGAAACCCCTTTATCGACCGTTCGGTCCCGAATTCCTTGTGCGGGAGTACCCTGCCGGTGTCGTAGTCGACAGTTCTGGCATATTTATGGTGATCAGTGTCTGGAGATTGGGACCCCCCTTACCAATCGCAGAATCTCGGAGCTTCGAAACGGTGGAAGGCCCCTAGTTGATGGAGGTGGACAGGTCCCAATCCTGCACAGTTACATACATGCTTTACAGTTTTGCCACCTTACTGAATACGACAGAAGGGTAACAGTCGGAGGGACAAGACAGAATACATGATCTGCTGCTTCCTCCATCTCTGTATACATCAGATCTGTCATATTCCATAAACTCACCCCTACAATCTTGCTCCTTCTCCGTATTTCTGCTCTTCCAAAACGTCTAGACATCTCAGTGTTTTGTACTGCACACGCCACATGGCAAGTCAAACAGCTGCTGGGGGTCAGAATCAACATTTACTCTTATGACAGAGAGCGTCTCTCAAGTCTATCATCAGTATAATTCTTGACCATACATATCCCTCACAAAGTCGTCACAGAAATTGATCCCAGGGCAACACCCACATACACTAGCACAACATCCATTCCCCATCTAAACCCCCCCCTGCCTATCCATTTCCTCCCATCCACAGTCCACACATCTCCCTGCAGCCCTCCCTTTATCATGCGTTGTGCTCATCATTCCACTCACAACCACACAGGGAGCCCAAATATGGGAGAGAGACTCCAACATAAGCCAACAAATTTTCCTCTCCTCCATTTTCTTTTCCGCATTTCCCAAACAATAAGTCCCTCCCGATACAACGCCCATAGCTCTTCTTTCCCCAAGTAAATGCCTTCTTGTAGTCCCAAATCAGAAAGAAAATGCCAAAGTCTCCTGACTAGAGGCCCCATTGAAAATAAAAAGAAGAACCTGGCGGAAATGAAAAACAGAAATTAGAAAACCAAACCCAACAACGCCACGCAAATCCCGTGATAGTACATACAAAGACCCTAGGACCTGAACTTAACGCCTCTTCCTCGGGCTCGGCCGCATAGTAGCAGCCAAATCCGGCAACGGAGCAGGCGTCACCCCAGAGTGAATCTGAGCCGCGATCATGCTAGACACAGTGTCGTGACCGTTCAGGAACCCGGCTGCAACATTGGACGACGGCGCCGGAACAGCAGGCGCTGCCTCAGCTGCAAACTGAGCCCCAAGCATGCTCGATACCGTGTCGTGGCCGTTCAAAAGACCATGGCCATGGTTGTTGGGCGGCGCAGGCGCAAGAATCGTCAGACCAGTGGAAGACTGAGCATTAGGCATAGCGTTTCCACTCAACAGAGCAGGCGGTACCTCAGAGGCAAACTGGGCCCCAGGCATGCTCGATACCGTGTCGTGACCGTTCAGAACCCCATGGCCATGGATGTTGGGCGGGGCGGGCGCAAGCACCGGCAAGTCGGGAACAGACTGAGCAATAGACTGTGCTTCAGACGCAAACCGGGCCCCTATCATGCTTGATACCGAGTCGTGACCGTTCAAGACCCCAGCACCATAGTGTTTGGCAGGAGCAGGCGAAAGCAGAGGCAGACCGGGGGTAGATTGAGCATTAGGGACAACGCTGCGAGCCGAAACAGCAGGACGGCCCCTTCGCCTCTTTGACCCAGCAGAAACTGGAACCAGGCCGCTGGCGGCATCGAGAAACAAGTCACCACGAACTGCAGGAGGCTCAGGAACAGCATCCTTCTTGGTTCGCTGACGCTTCCTCTTGGCCGGTGGCTTCGTCTCGGTGGCGTTATTGGTGTTCTCGACAGGAAAGCCTTGGGGTGCAATGTTGGTGTTCTCGAAAGGAACGGCCTGGGGACCAAAGGGCACAGGTCTTTCCTAAACGCTGAACTGCGCTCTCCCATGGTCCCCCAGACCCGCCCACTCCTGATCCGTGAACCCTGCGGCGGGAGCAGCCTGATAATGAGCCTGCGGACGAGGCCAAAGTGTCCCAGCCCACTGGGCACCCTCAGCAGAAATAGGCTGCTCCAAACTGGCAAAAATACCAGGGCCATGTTCCCCCTCGTGCAGACCAACAAAGTCAGACGCAGAAATCAAAGTATTAAACCCAGAGCCCAGAACTAAAAAAGAAGGAAAAAAAGAAAAAAGATTAGTTACAAAAACTTCCTCCAAACATGAATTAATGCATCATCACAGGATACGGCACAATGGCCTTGTCCACAATTGGCTCACGTCTTGAAGTATTCTTGGCTTCATCGCCCCACTTGTTAAACCAGTCGACCTCTTCTTGTCTGGCCTTGTCGAAAGCAGCCCGGCAATCCGGGGGCAACTCGGCAATGATGTCGTCAGATATAACCGAAAGTCCTCGAAATGGTGCTAGAGGGTCGGCAGCTGCTGAAGCTTCGTAGTCAGCAGGGGACGTGCGGAATGGCACTTCGTAGGCGGCTGGCGAGATGCCGGCCGGGGGCGTCTCCATGTAGGTATCCATGACCAGAAAGTTCCGAGAGATGGACGGCTCAAGCGGAGGAAATGTGCTGCTCTCTTCGGCGTCCTCGCCTTTGCCGCTGTCGAGAACCTGTTCGATTCTGGCGTGGGTTGGCTGGGAGATGCGGGGATAGTGCATCAAGTTGGTCATGACGTTGTAAACCCCCTTGACATTCTGGCGGCGCATATCGGTGAGGATGCTGTTGTATTGGCTGTTCAGGTGTCAGTGGCGGGCGGGAGACAGGTGTCGGGTAAGCGAGTATACATACCTCGCCTCACGGGCGTGCTCAAGTTGCCAATTCATGTCGTTGACGGCCACTCTACGTTTCTTCGTGTCGATCTTGGCGTTTTGCTGCGGAACAGTAGGTGCATTGGAGTGGTACACCGCGCTGGCGCCATGCCAGGCAACGTATTGGTTCTTGTTGTAAGGCTGCGAAGGGTCGTAAATGTCGTTAGGATCCGCCAACTCGCCCTCAACAGCCCCATCCTCACGAACTGCCGCGACGTTGTAGTCGTCGATGATTCTCCGTCCGCCGACAATGATCAAAGCGCCGAATTCGCGGAACACGGACCTCGCTGTCACGATTCCTATGCTGCGACCTTTGTAGGAATGTGGGATGATATCGCGTTCGATCATGTCGCGCTTCTCCTCGTCATTAACGATAATTTTGAAGAGCTTCTTGTGCTTGGTGAAGAACAAGTAAGAATCGCGGAAACCGACACATCTGGCAGGCTCGGTGGAGAGCATGTAGAGACGATCGCCGCGGCCGGCAACGGTGAAGGTGCGGCAGCGGTATTCACGACCATCCTGAAGGTTGCCCAGTTTGTCCACCTTCTTCTCACCCTCAGGATCCTCGGGAAGGTCGACCTCGTCGTTGACGATATCCAAGACAGTACCGTCTTTATCGATCGACTGTGTTGTGGGTGCCGAGTATTGGCCTTTGCGACCACCACGGCCTCGCCAACCCCCTCTGCCACGGCGACGGGGAGTATCCGAGTCGGCATTGGGGCGCTCAATGGGAAGCTGGTCCCAGTCAGGCGGGCGATTCTTCGGGGGCCTGCCGAGACGACGGCGGCGGATGACGGGCTCGGGTGGGGGTGAGGGCGACTTCTCTTCCTCTTCCTCTTGGGCCACCTCCTCTTCCTCTTCGGCAACAGAGTCTTCGTCCTTGTCACCCTCCTCTTCTGCATCTTGCGGGGGTTCAACATCCTCGTCGGCCTCGACATCGGCATCGACATCGGGCATGGGCTCGTCTTCGTCGTCGAGTCCCTCGAAATTCTTGGGGGTGCTTTCTGTAGGCATGGTAGATTACTGGTTAGCAACCTGATGGTCAAAGGCAGTGTCCAGAGTGCAGGATAACGGTATGCCACAATGTGGTGGTGGGGATCGGATGCGCCTAGTTTGGACTGGGACTGGGATTGGGACCGAGACTGTGACTGGAAGAGAGAAGGAGCTTTGGAGTGCGACTTGTTGCAGTGAATTACTTACCAAGCGCTTGCTGAGCGCGTTTGGCCGCAGCACGACCGGATCGCCGAGAAGGCATGTCGACGTCTATTGGGGCGATCTGGATGATTGTTTGCTCCTCGGTGCTGACTTGCTCTTTAAACGGTGCAGTCCTGGGAAAAAGTTGCGACACCCAGATATGATAACGAGGGAGGCGGCTGCTTGTGGAAGACGCGATTGACACGGCCAGCTTGGATTTTGGACCTTGCCATTTGTCGCTGGGACCATGTGGGGCCCAATGGGCTTGGCAGCTGTCACTTCTTGGCACCGTCCACACTGTGCAACTTTACACTGTTAAGAGAGATCTCAACAGCACATAGCACGTTGCGAGGATTGGATTGATAGATAAACAATCAATAGAAATAAATCTGTGTGGTATCGTGAGATTATTACTCTATAAATGCAATGAAAAGTGAAAAGACATGATAACTTTACTTCCACAACAGCAAAACAAAACAGCATAGCGCACATTTCCAGACAGTCATTAAAGAGAAGAATCCCAACTGCGTTCTGTTTGACCAAGCTATCTCCCGTAATCTTGATGCCGCTAAACTCGGGCATACTAACCAGCCTCCATCCTGAACGCCATGTCCCACTGTTGATGCACATTAATAAAAAAGCGAGGAGAGGGCAAATGGAGAGAACGCCGATTGATGGCGAAAAGTGCTGTGGGCGTGCAAATGCGCCAGAAGAGTCCAGGCCTCTCGGCCTTTGTGAACTGAGCACCGCTCCTGAAGATTGATGTCTGATCCAGGCTTCCCCGGATAGGTGGCACCGCTTTTACCACGGTATCGGTTCGGAGGAAGAATAAGACGTAGTGTGCCATGTATCGATCCGCAACTGGTTGATCCTAAAATATCGACTTCTTGAGACCAATTCGGATCTCCGCGAACGAAATGGCGGTGGTAATGACGCTGGTTAAATCGCCAGAGGCTCCTTTGAGCCGACTTTCTCCTAGTTGGCCGGGAGCTTGGAAGCATCGGGCATGTCGTCTGGAAATTCCTCCTTGGTAAGGAGAGCATCCTTGGCCTGGTAAAGATAGCGATAAGCCGTCTTCACCGTACCATCACTGACGCCAGCCACACCAGCGATTTCCTTGGAGGCCTTGGGTTCTCCAACCAAATGCGAGGCCATGTAGATGCACGCAGCCGCAACCGACAAGGGAGAACGACCAGCGAGGTCAGCCACCTGTTGCGACTTCTTGGCAAGACGTCTCGCGACATCCTCCACCCTGACCGGGTTGCGGAAACCCATGTTGCTGCAATAGCGAGCGCACAGCCCGACAGCAGTAGTAGAGGCCTTGGCCTGGTAGGTCTGGTTGAATGGCCCAGCCTTGGTAATATCATCGGCACCGCCGGCCTTCTGCAGGAAGGTCTCAAGCTGCTTGAAGACGCGGCCAATCTCCTTCTTGGAGACCTTGGTGAGGCGATAAATCTCACGGAAAGTACGGTCAGCATTTGCTTGTCGACAGGCGATGAAGATGCATCCGGCGATAATCGCTTCTTGCGATTTACCCTTGAGGGCCTTGGCATCGTCGACCAACTTGTAAATGTGCTTCGCAGCATTTGCAACTTGGGTACCCGTGTTGATGCTGTCGGTAAAGCTTTGAATATCCCGATACGCATTGAGCAGTTGCTTGGAGCCTTTGTCGTTCGTCATCTTATTTTGAAGATGGGACAGGTTCTTTGCACCTTTGCCGTCGAAAGCGATTGTCGTTTGCAGTTGATCGCCGTCGATCATCAAATTGGGACCGTCACCAACACGAGAAGGGTCGTCGTTACCCTGGTCATCATTCGAGAACGTCCGCCACTCGGAGCGCGTATCAATAATACGCTCACCCAGGACCAATCCACAAGACTCGCAAACCATGTCGCCCGATGAGAATTCCTCGATCAAGTTAGGCGGAAACTCTTTGCACTCGGCGCACATGAGGATGGCGTTCAAGTCCTCCTTGTACTCGCCGGAAGCCGAGGAGGGATGGGGAGGATAAAGGGCCGACATGTTGATGCAGTCGTAGGTAGAATAGATGACTTCGGGGGGAAAAGGATCCGTCAGGCTGTTAAGGTTGGAGGCGTTTGTTGAATGACCGCCAGAAGCCGTGCAAGTTGTAGCTTTGATTGAAAGTAGCGGCGATGAGGAAACAGCCCGGGTTGCTGTTTGCAAGCAGCACTTTGCGGTTCTACGGAGAAGCCCGAAGAGTGCCGCCCCGACTGTGCGGTCAACGAGGGCCGGACTCGAGATTGATTGCGTAGTCGATGATATCGGTGCTGATCTTGGCTAGGGAGGGGATATCTCAACTTTGAAGGCGATGCTTGGGTGTTTGAGGGTGCAACAAGTGATCGTGGACGACACTGTTGACCAGAACAACGTCAAAGAAAGTTGTGGTTGAAAGGAAAGTCGGCGACCGGTGAAACTGACGTTGGCCGCTGCTAAATCCTCGGACAGGCAGGCAGGTCCCTGTGGGGCGATGGCTCCAAGTGAATGAAAGTGAAATCGCTGAGTCAGCCAATGACTGAAGAACCAGGCGGAACCGGACCTTGCAGCCTTATGGGCGGGGCTGGTCGAGCGCTTCCATTGGCTGCCGGATCGTCGGGCTCCAGATAAGCTGATAAGGCTTTCTTCCACTCTTTGGGATGACCACACTTGTTGCTCTCACCATCAACAGTTCACTCTAGAGGTTGGCAGATGCAGCTTGGTGAATGAAATCTGGTTTATTTCACTATCTATGCAATCCCCTCTCATCATTTGTCCTATCGACTTCTGCTCTTGGATTGGCTCTCATTCACCGGATTGGCGTCTCCGTTCTCCCTCCTTCGCGATCCTTCCAGCACTTTCTTTTGCCGGTACGCGGCGCACTATACTTCAAGCCACCAAGCTGGTCTCTCAGTGTCTCTCATATGCATACATGCTTCACAAATGAGGCTTGTGCATCAGCCAACTGTCTTCTCATAGAATTCCTCGCAGACTACCACGCAACCTCTGTGAGGCTGCAATGGCCACGGCGCTCGAAGCCTCGAGAGGAGCCTGTAGCTATACTTGATGAATCTCGGCATCTTCGTTTTCTTTCCCATTTTCTTCTTTCCTACGCTTATACCCTCATCCACCATTACTCGGCTGACACCGGGCAGGATTTCTTGGCGGGGGCCTCAGCGGCTCTGGGCGCAACTCTGGGAACGATACTCGGTTGTGGGATCGATGCTTTGGCGGCGTAGGGACAGCGATGATAGGTACACTGTTGGATGCCGCTATGGCTGGATGCTGTTCCCCTGAAGCAGACCGTTCATGTCGAACCTGGGCTTCCCACCTCTTCCAGTCTTCCTTCAGCCTCGTGGATTCTTTTCGCTCCATCTCGGAAATCTGCTGGTCGATCTGATTGATGGTCGCTGCTGTTGAGAGCGCTGCGGGAGATAGCAGTTGCTGCTGCTGGTCTGATCCTGGCACATGTTCCAGTTCTTGAGGTTGTTGCTGCCGTTGCGGTTCTGGTTGATGCTGCTGTGGCTGCTGGTCGATGGTATTCGTTGACCGGCTGGCGAGAGACTTGCGGATCATATGCCCCCTCCAAGTCTCCTCCTCTTTGAACAAGTCATTTGCGCTCAACTTTCTCTTCCTGCTGAACTCTTCGCGGCTCAGATACGGGTCTCTTGCCTTTGCCTTTTTGTATTGATGACGCTTGGTGTAGCAGACGACGAGTGTAGTAAGGGCTGTCACGACACCAATAGTGCCGGCAACGATGGAGACCACTATCCATATCACAGCGTTATCCGTGGTATCCGGGGTCTTGTCACCACGGGTATCAAGTATAGAAGTAGTAACAAGAGCAAAAGGGGCCATTTTGTTCAAGCGGCCACAAACTGCCAGGACCAAGGTGGTATCACCATAGCGAGTAAACCAGACAACCTCACAGGAGGTGGGGTAGGTCGGACGATAATATACACCCAGACAACACTTCAGCTATGGAAGGAAAGACGTCAATCGGGACAATCCACGAGCAAGGGGGTAGGACATGCATGGTCTGTCTATAATTGGAGGCACGGCAGATTTCACGTACCATCCAGATGCTGGGTCTCAAACTCGCCAGGCTGAGAGGTAGCACTTACAACCCCCGGTTCGCTATTGGGAAGTCCCGATGCATGGCCCCGTCCGCTTATTGGCGATCCCTCCCGTCCTACACCACGGCCTCCTATTCAGACAGGTTTGTGAGGCGCAGCACCACCACCAAAAGGCAGAACAACAACTAATCTGCAAACCCGGAGCCCAGAGAGAGTCCTCGGGCAATTCATTGAGAGCAGATCAAATCCTGCAACTTCATGGCGAAGCTTCCTCGCGGATGAACTCGCACATGTAATCAAGACATCCAAGGCGTATTGGATTGGACCGCTGCTGGCACGCTTACACGCACCTTTGACTGCCGCATTAGGAACAGGAGCGGTGGTCATCCTCACCAACCTGCGGGGTAATATCTGGCTCTGGAATGCATTTTGACCGATAGTCCACAGTGGTTTTTGTGAACGGTTCCTCTGACCTCATCAGCTCTGTAGTGCCATCATCTTGTCATGCCCGAACTCCGGGCAAGTTTTCGCCGTCCCTGGGCTTCTTCCTGCGGCGGTGCACCGCCAAGAAGAGACGCAGCCCAAAGTGCTTGGGAGCTGCCCTCAACACGAGGTTCCACCGAACAACTCACGTTTGCTATCACCGATGAATTGCGTAACCACACTTCACAGCCCAGACGGCAGTTTGCCAATGAGATGAGATATCCACAAAGAGACCAATTTTCTACCAAGATCTACACTCGCCGACGGCGTGGGCTAGCCTCAACTCTGACCCGGGCTGAATATTTGAACAAATGTTACACCAATGGCTGCTGACCACGAGGATCTCCGGCCCCAAAGCTGCGTGATTGACTTATAAAACTGTCATTTTGCACGTGCAAACATACTCGTGTACCACACTGCTAACGTTTCAAGAGTTACTCATACGACCTATGTAGAGGAGTGGAAATTATACTAGGATTAGATGATAACAAGTAGAGGTGTAGGGGGCTATTATGATAATTACATGCTATGCACTTTATATACTTTTTGTGGAAATGAGGAAGTGTTCGAGCTAAAAAAAAAAAGGGGGGTATCGTGATGATGATAATGATCGTGTATGAAATGCATGTCTTTCTTGACCTCGTGATCGTCTTTCATCTCTTCCGTTCAAACCCACGCCGCTTGCCCAAGCCAACAAACAAACAACAACAACGCTATGCCAAATGTTCCAACTCCGAAATAAATACCCCTTGTGTCGCTCTTGAGGAGGCTGATGAAGGCTGATTTGATGGTAGATCCCCAACAGGTCCGATGAAGCCGCAGGTCATGATAGTCGAGACCTTATCACCGTTCCAGCTCCGAGACCTAGCAAAACCCAGCCACAACCAGCACCTCCCCACAAGAAACGACCTCATTGCCCAACATCAGCAGCCCTCACCGTCTTCGGGCTTTCCTCCAGCCGCCCGCCTTCCTCTCCTCTCTTCCCAGCGCCACCAGCTTCAGCCTCCTTCTCCTTCTCCCCACTCCTCCTCTCAAACTCATCCCCCCTTAGTGTAACCTCCCCACTATGCGCGGTCCCCGTCCTCATCGACTCCGACCTCCTCCCACTAATACTCTCCCCCTCATCAATGACATCCCCCTCCCTCGTCCTCGTCCTGGTAGGTCCCATCTCCACATCATTATGTCCCATTTCATGAAAGTGAACACCCCCCGTGCTATGCGTCCTGGTCCGTTGCACCCACCTCCTCCAGGTATAACTCACCACACTCTCCCCCCCAACACTACTCGGGACCCTAGCCCGGAAGCTGGTAGGGTGCAATTCCGACAAGGCAACACTCGGTCTCCTCGCTTCCTGTTGTCCCTCCCGTTCCCTAGCACAGCTTAACAGCTCCGGTCTGCACACCGGCAGGTGGGCCAGATCCCACGCGGCTAACCACCAGAGAAAGATATACACCAGCGGTGTAGCCATTTTGTCTGGCACGTTCCAGTAGGTATACCCCTTCGGGAAAACCTCATTTCCGAGACCGATGTACACGGAAAAGAGGATCATGTACCCTAGCCCGAAAAGAAAGCGGAGGGATAACCGCCATCTTGGCCAGGGGGAGCGGATGCGGAAGCAGGTGATGATGTTGAGGATTGCGTCGAGGTAGAGGATTGAGAGGAGGGTTATGCCCGGGGAGCTGATTGTGTTAGTAAGTCAAGGGGGATGAAGAAGGCAGAAAAACATACGAGAATTTGGCGGTCGATCTGAACGCCGAGATGGAGGTGGACATTATATACAGCAGCACCAACGTCGGCGCGGAGTGCAATACCGAGTTTGCTAACCGGAGCCAAACCCGTCTTTTCTCTTCAGGGGATAGGCCTGCTGATTGATGTAGTGGGAGAGGGCCAGATGGTGGTGGGATCTCTGCTGTAGTTGGGGAGGATAGGGGTTGCGGTGGGGGGTCGAGAGTCCCCGTTCTTGATATTGCTGTTGGGGACTCCTCTTGTAGGACGGGGGTTGCTGGTGCTCCTCCAAAGGAGAAGCTGTTCAGGTCCCGTCTGAGGTTGCTGCTCCTGTGGCTTAGGTCTCGACTGACGGTCCTGTTCGCGGTGCGGAATTGCTGAACGGTGTTTGTGTGTGTGAGAGTATTGACGTTTGGGTCGTCAAGGGCGGAGGGATCAAAGGAGTGGATCGACGCTGAGCAGGCAGGCGTCCTCTCCGTCATGGGCTCTTCTGTGAAGCGAGACTGGCGACGGTAGAGCTTCGGCCGGACGGGTGACGGATTGGTGCCAGTAGGTGTCGATGGCGTCCCCGGCGTCCCCGGCGTCCCCGGTGTCCCCGGTGTTCCCGGCGCAGAGGGCATCGCCAGTGGTGGCCTGATCGGCCCCTGAAAGCTCGATTCCTTGATCTCGCCCATGGTGTCTGTTGCCCTTTCGTATATATATGCTTCAATATACCGTTCCGAATTCCCTCATACTAGATCGTCGTCGCCCCAACAAAACCCAAACATAAACCTCGTCCCGTAATTCCATGCGCGTGAATTCCAATCGTCCGATCCGGAAACCAGTTGCGTTACCAACACAACGGTTCGGTCCCACCGAACGTTGGGTCTTCCCCAGGTCAGGTATCAAAATAACCTGCACTCCTCTGACAATAGCACAAAACGTTGGTAGTTGAGATGCGGCGTGGAAGTCTCTGCCACTCAGGGGAGGGGGGGTTGGTCGTTGATATGAACTGACAGCTGGGAACGTCTCGTGACGAACCCAGCAGAAAGAAAAAAGCCCCAACGGTGACGAGCAGCAGGTGGCGGGGTGCCCTAACACCCATGCGAGCAAATAGATGCAGCTTTTCGTGCCCGTTTCGTTGCGCTAGAAATGCGGATTCCCAAATCGTAAAGGTGGATTGGGCGAACAGTCACCAAAGACGACTTCTTCAATTTGCAATCGAGAGCTGATGAGGAACGAGGAGACTGGCAAAACAAAAAACAAGACACACGAAACTCTCCCAACTTGGCGCGCGCATTGAATTGGACAGAAAGGAGAGCGGAACACCTTCAGCTTCTTCATCCCCAACCAAATACGGGACTCAATGCAACCCTGTCGATGTGATGGAGGCCATCGTTGAATGGTTCAGGGTCCCTGCCGAGGCTTAAACGGATAAATAAGGCAGCAAGGCCGGTGCGAGACCAGGGCTATCCCAAACCCTGTCAGCGGGCTGCTGCAGGGGAAAACGGGTGGACCGCAGAAGCGAGTCCAGACTCGATCACACGCTCAAAATGCCGGGGAAGAACAACCTCACTAACCTGGGGAAAACCAGGGGCCATCCATGACCTGCAACGGTCATCCGAACAGTTGAGAATTTGCACATTCTTCTCTGCAGAGCCGCAAACACGGCTATCTCATCGTGGAGTCACGGAGCTGAGGACAACCTGTTTTGATGCTGGCGACAGTGATACGAAGTCGGCACCTCGACCCGGACCCCTTGCGGCGATCTGATACACCCGGCAATGGCAGGGCCAACACATGCGGCGTGCTTGGACATTCGGGACAACCATCTTCATTTTGTCATCATCTCATTCTCCATCGGCTCCTGTTTCCCAGTTTATGGAACAAAAAGAAGTGAAAACTCCATCCCATTTCGCGCTAGCTGATTGCCAAGTTAATGCAAACGCTTCTCTAACAACCGCAACTTCGGCGTTACCTAGCAAGAACACTAGACATGGACTGGCTCAGATTTGCCTTTTGACTTCACTGTGCACGATGCAGCGATGCAGACTCGCAATCAGGAGAGCAAGGGCTTCCGAGGAAACCACAAGACTCAACCCCAAAAGATTTGCGCCTGTCGAGACCGGACTCAGAAGTATCTGTAATGTATCATCACCGACAGTCCATGTCTACCAGCAATTGCATGGCACTGGTCATCAGTAAACCTACGACAAGAGTGCTGTCCCTTTGTCACGGCCGCTCTCCATCTTGGCTGTCCTCGAGCCGAACTGAATCTGCCGTCAAATTAGCAAAGCTTTCATATCATGCACTAGACCGAGCCAACTTACAGCTCGCTTCTTTTCCTTCGCAACACCCTCCATGCCCAACTCCATCGCCAGAAGACGCAGGACTCTCTTTGCAGCTTCAACACCGCTCTTCTCTTCCTCCCTTTCAAAATCACACTTCTCCCACGCAGGCGTTGCGATGGCCCACTTGACCAGACGTTCGTCCAGAAACGGAAATCTTACCTCCTTGCCCCAATGGGCCATGACTCTATCATCCCTCCCGAGATTTCTCTCGGCCAGGCGGCTTACGTCCCGCAGGAGCTCTTTCACAAGCCCTGTGTATCCGTCCTGCTGGAAAGCTGCAGCATGGCGCGAGTAACCACCAAATAGCTCATCAGCGCCGAGGCCAGAAAGCAGGACGCGCGCGGGCGATGTGTACGAAACAGGTGAGGGCTCAGAGTCCGGATCTGGACTCTCTGATCTGACTGACCCTTGGCCTCGGGCGGCAAAGTAAAGCGCGCATGCGATGGAAAGGTCCATCACAGTATTGTGAGGATGGATGAGGGAAATGATTTGCTGCCGGTGGGCCTGCAATTTTGAGTAGGGGACATTTACCTGTGATAGTCAGCAATCAAGGGCGTAAAATCCAGTTGCAGAAGACCACGCACAGCGACAAACCGAAAGACTCGCCCGGGACAGACATTCTTCAACTCGGCGAAGGACTTCCTTCCCGTGATCCTGTCCGGGCAAGCCTCGTACAAGTCCACCTCTTTGCCGTTGGCCTCTTTTTTCAGCCGGGCCCCCACTCTCGGATTCTCAAAGCCAACATTGAGGAGATCAATTTCTTGGTGAGGCTCCAGGATATCGTGGCATAGTCTCGCCAGGACGGTACAATCCAGGCCACCGGAAAACAGTACCGCAACGCGGGTCTTGCCTGTTCCACTGGATGGCGGGTTGGGAATATTTAGCACCCTCAACTTGAGCGATTCAACCAGCTGGTCCTTGAGCGCCCGAACAGAAGGTGACGCGCGCGTCAGCGGCGTCTCTCCCTCAGGAGATGGCAGCGCCTTGTTAAATACCCCGATGCTAGACACCTGCCAAAGTAAGCTCGACAACCCCGTCTCCCCCTCTCACAACCCCAAGCTCCCACCAGGACAGAATTTTGCACTTACAAAGTTCTCCCCCTCCTCAACCCAATCATGCCTCCTCGCTACCCCATCTCCCAACCCAAGAGAATAAACCCCATCAGCCTCCACCTCCTCCCACTTCCCCTCCCCATCCGCAATACTCCCCAACACCACCGCTCCCCCCTCCAACCTCCTCACCATCAACGACCGTCTCCCCAACCGATCCCGTCCCCAAAACACCCTTTGCAGCGCCTCACAATAAAAAACAAACGCAAAAGGCCCCTCAACCCCCCTCCAAACCCCCATCACCTCCTCCACCGACCTCGCCTCTTTCAACCCTCGGTAAATAACCTCCCCGTCATTCTCATGTTCCCCAATTACTTCCCCCATAAACTTCCACCCCTCCCCATTCCAGCACAACACATTCCCACCCCCGCTCCCACTGTCATCATGCAGTGGCTGCTTCGTGACACGGTCGCCCCTCAAAGCCAAAACAGTAGACGTAAACCGCAACTTCCATCTCCCATCCGACGATTCCCGCGTAACCTGCCCGAAATAGTCCGGTCCGCGGTTGACAAGATTCTGGTGCAACTCCGGGGAGATTTCGGGGAGTGAACAAGAAGAGGGGGAGATGACGGCGTGAATACCGCACATTCTCGCGGCCTTATTTCGTTCAGTTTGGTTGTGTGATTAAAAAAAAGCAAGTCGTGTGGTGGAAACGACAAGAAGTTGAAGGCCGGGTGACATCGCGGTGTGGAGATAAGATTCTGGTGGGTAGGTGGGTGGATGAGTCAGCAGTGAGAACACCAGCTGCGCTCCAACATCAAAAAAAAAAAAAAGGTCGACGAATTTGGAAGACCTTGTTCGACTGCTGCAACGAAGATGAAGCGAGAGAAAAAAAACTTCGAAATGATGCAAACTAGAGTCGAGGATGACTTCCAGGGTCAAAGAGCAAAAAGTGCAAAAAAAGGGAACAAGCTAGCTGCGACTCGTTTCGATCGAGTGACCTCCGGGTTATGAGCCCGGCGCGCTTCCGCTGCGCCACGCAGCTTGTTGCTTGATGGAATTTTGTGGCGGATCTAGCCTACACAATACACTCACTGTTCACTCTTTTCCCCATCTCTACAGCTCTCTGTTGCATTACGACACCAAGTCACTCAAATAAACGGCAGACTGCTCAGTGTGTTTAAAAATTAATCAGTATCGGCCGGGCCTAGATATTACTACCGTACTTTCTGTCAGCCACCCACCCTGGCGTCTAACCACCAAATGCATAAATTGTGGGAATAAGTAACCTCCCCGTCTTATGCTCGCTAACAAGGAAAAGATGAGAATAATTGAAAAATAGGACGACTGAGTCCTCCTTCGTGTGACTGTAACGCTGAATTTCCTGAAAGTCCTCTACCCTCCAATCATGACGATAAAGCAAGGCAGGCATCAACCGCCAGCCCAACCCTGAGAACGATGTCAGTTTCACAGTAAAGCCTGGGTGGTGGGCTGGGAGATCCTTACCTTCCCTCCTTTTGGTAAACGACATCGCTGATGATATCTTTGTCAAGATCTGGAAACATGCCAGCCAGCGTCTCGACGATATTGGCATGTTCTGCTCGGTGTAGCCGCTGAGCCTCAGCTGTCTCGGCACTGGCTTGCCGAGCAGCTGCCTCCTCGGCAGACAGCCTTTGCCGACGGGCATCACCATCAGGTCTCTCTGGCATAGGCGTCCGAGCTGGCGAGGCAATGCTCGTACTGGGTTCCGAAGACGAGGGCTCGTCCGAGAAGATGCGGCCTATGGTACTGAGTGGTCTTTGAATCGTCCGGAGAAGGCCGGTGATGGCCGCCTTTTCATCATTCCCGCTGTATTCACCGCTATCACGGCCTTCGTTCGACGACATAGAACGACGTGGGGTATCTGGACGAAGAGACGCGTCCGTGTCAGCTGAAACACGACCCGCAGATGGTGCTTTCAATGCTGAAGACTTCTCAGACTGAGGCGGAGGAGGTGGTGGAGACTCGGCACGGTGCCTCTCGGCGATGGCAGACACAGCAGCCTCGACGTTTTGTTCGAATTCCTCGTCAGTAATAGTTAATGTCGTTCGGTCCATGTTCTCGATGAACTGAATAGCTCCCATCAACGAAGAAAGATAGTACCCGGCTTCGCCACCAAGCTTTTCTTGATTGCGGAACCTTAGGATGTACTGGACATTGGAAACAAGATGCTCGGGATTTGCGTGAAGGACAACGTAGATTAACATGGGCATAAACGAGTCAGCCGAGGAGTCGGATTTTGCGTGTTTAAGCAAGCCTGTGTGGTGTCAGCAAAGATCGAGACAATCTAGCACAAACAAACATACCGAATATGACTTTGCAGCAGTTCAATACACAAATGATCTTGTCCCTCGGCGCCCGGTACGACTTGATCTTCAACAACTCTTGCTGAGCGAGCTTCAAGAACCGCTTGCCACTTTCATTAACAGGTGGAATATCCAAGTGGTCTTCTCGTACCCAACTATAGATGTTGATCTTTTGAGCAAGAATCTCGTCACGCTCAACATCCTCCTGGTGCTGTCCCCGCCGTCCAGGGCCCATCGGGCGCTCCCCGCCACGTCTCCTTGGCTTCGCTCCTGGGATTGGCTGTGGCGGTGGAATCGCGGGCGAAAAGGTCTGGCTGTAAAGGCGGTTCATGACAAGTTTCTCCATGCCTTCGCGGGCATTGTCAAATTCGGCATCGGACACGTCGCGCCAGACCTCGCACTGGCCCATCTTGTTGGCGATAAATGTGAGGAAATCACTAATTATCTTGACCTGCTCATGTACCATCCATTGCCGTTTTCCAAACTCGGACAAGAAAGACTTTAAATATCTGGCAACAGGATCGGCTTTCTTATTGCGCAACTGTTCCAAGAATCGGTGGAAATCAAATGGCAACGTCGGTTCAGGTTCGGGCTCTGGGGGTGGAGGGCGATGGAGAGTACTCGGCGACATTGGCGAGTCCACGTTGCCTCGAAGATCATCCTGCGAACGCCCTGGACTGGCGGGGTACATTGAATCGTTCTTTGGCGGAACAGGCGGTCCAAAGTCTTCCTTGTCCTTCCCACGTGTGTCTGACGGTGACGACCCTGATATGCGTAGCCCCTGTATACCTTCTTGTAACTGCTGAGCAAGACTAGGAGTGAGAGGCTCCAAGCTTGATTTCCGTGGTGGGTGAGACATTGGGCTTCCAAGAAGAGGCGATGCCATCTCCAGCCGTGGACTCATGACCTCTTCTACCCCTGGACCCCCGCCTTCCTCGCTGAACTGTTCCATGATGCTCTGAATTTCTGATCTTGACCCGCTTTCTTGTTCATCTTCGCTGGTATATCGTTTCTCGTCGTAACCAACATCAGACCTAGTAGGTGATGGTTCTGAAGATCCATGTCTTGAGCGTGAAGTTGCTGCCGTCGAGGGTGCTCGGGAAGGAGGTTGAGAAGGGGCCGGCGTCGGCGGGGTAGGGTCTTTGTATGTCCGGGATTCGATGGTGAGATACTGGGTGGCAGTCGTGGTAGTTGGCGAAGTAGCCGGCTTTAGCGTAGCGATAGATGACATCAGGTCATTCGAATCGTCAAGAGACGACGACTGCTTTCCCTTGTCCTGCCTGAGAGTCGATGATTCCACCGTGCCGTCCCCAGTTTCTTGGGAGTCCTGATTACCCGAGTCTAGAAGGTCCTCTTCCACGGCAGCGCTTGCCGGGGCTGGGGTTGGAGGTTCATTCGATGCAGCGCCCTGATCAGCACTTTGACCGGCCGTTGGCAGGTCGCCTCTGGCTATCCCGTCATCTTGGGCATGGGAGCTCTCTCCTTGATTATGGGGAGACATGCAAGGGAGCCGTAAGGTCTTCGACGTGTAAGGCAGCGGTTCCAGTCGAGGTGTCAGTTTCGGGCGTTGAACTTCAGGAGCTAGGCGTCGGGCGCGCAAGGGGGGCTCAGGGACGAGGGTTGTCGTGATTGGGCAGCTAGTTATCACAGCGACGGGGTATTGGATGATAAACACGCATCTGTTGGACTTACTGGTTTACTGCGCGAACAGCTGTCACTGAATTGCTGGGTTGGCCTGGTGTTTTAGCGGGCCCCAACAGTCCCGTTCATGGTTACGCAGCGCAGAGGGTCACTAGGGACCTGACGGGATCCATGGTGGGGTTGCTTGCCGAGGAATTACCGCCCCACTTGGACCGTTCCACAGCTTCCTTGCTTCAAGTCCATGTCCTTGTTCCCGCTGTGTTATGCAGATGTCACTGCTGCCCTCTTTTAAGACCATGATTTTTTGGGGTATGAAATGGAGTCTCTCTCATGTCTTGGAGAGTTCATGAGTCAAATACCGAGGTTCTGGCTTTACCCTCGGTCAACTGTCATTCATGATCGTGTTGCTGCGGAGCTCAGTGCAGTTCCGGCTTGCTGCGGGGGATCTTCAGCCCCGCCAGTGGCACCAGTGCTGCCAGCACCAGGGATAATGGTCCTTATGGACCTTTCCATCGACCACACATTGTGGAAGTTGTCTTGTTTGCATTTCTCGACAAATCGAATCCCTCAGTTGTTCAATTCTCAAAATGAGCCGCATACTTGGCGTCCCCCGTGCTCTCCTGCAGCTCCGCGGAACGGGCCGGCGTTTCGGACCCGGCCCGGGAGCCTTCCGAACGTTCTCCGGCTCGGCAGCTTTGGGAGACGTCACTCTTCCACTCGAGGGATACCGTGTGTTGGATATGACCAGAGTTCTCGCCGGTGTAAGACTCCTCCAAGCTCAAGGCGTCAAAGCATGAGACTTATTCATATGTGTTTCTTGTAGCCCTACTGTACACAAATCCTGGGTGACCTCGGGTAAGTACTGCCCGCTTCCGAATTGGAAACCCGGACTAACACCAGTTGAGAGCAGAAGTCATCAAAATTGAGCATCCGGTCAGAGGCGATGACACCAGGGCTTGGGGACCTCCATATGCAAGCTACAAGTCTGGCTCAGCTCTTGAAGGGCCTGGGGAGTCTGCCTACTTTCTCGGGGTAGGTCTTTGGATCAGGATGCCGCTCAGGAGAATTGAAGGCTGATTTGTCTTTAGGTTAACCGCAACAAGAAGTCCCTGGCCCTGTCATTTCAAGACCCAGCCGGGATCGAAATCCTTCATAAGCTAGCTGCCAAGTGTGATATTCTCGTCGAGAATTACATACCAGGAGCGCTCAAGAAGTATGGACTGGACTTTGAAACCATCCACAAGATCAACCCAGCTCTTATCTATGCCTCCATCACAGGATATGGCCAAAACGGGCCTTACTCCAAGCGTGCCGGCTACGATGTGATGGTAGAAGCCGAATTTGGTCTGATGCATATCACTGGCGCCAGAGACGGCCCTCCAGTCAAGGTTGGTGTTGCAGTAACAGACCTGACAACAGGCCTGTACACAAGCAACAGCATTATGGCTGCACTGCTCGCCCGAGCCAAAACTGGAAAAGGCCAGCATATTGACGCTGCACTGAGTGACTGTCAGACTGCAACTTTGGCAAATATTGCCAGCAGCAGCTTAATCAGTGGGGAGAAGGATACCGGCCGATGGGGCACAGCTCATCGTAAGTTTTACATGTTCAAACCATTGTAGTATCTCCTTCTGACCTCTGCTAGCCTCTATTGTCCCTTACAAGTCTTTTGAGACAAAAGATGGTGATATCCTCTTTGGTGGTGGAAATGATCGTTTGTTCGGAATTCTTTGCGATGGCCTTGGTCGTCCAGAGTGGAAGGAAGATGAAAGGTATAAGATCAATGCTTCCAGGGTAGCACACCGGAATGAGCTAGAAGCCGAGATTGAGAAAATCACGGTAACAAAAACAACACAGGAGTGGCTTGATATCTTTGAGGGCAAGGGCATGCCTTATGCTGCTGTCAATGATGTCCTGACTACGTTAACCCATGAGCATACACAGGCAAGGAATATGGTGGTGGAAGTGGAACATGGGGATTGCGGTCCCATCAAGCTGGTCAACACACCGATCAAATACTCCCACAGTAAGCCGAGAGTACGAACACCACCACCGACTCTCGGACAAAATACCAATGAGATCTTGAGAGAGCATCTTGGTATGGATGACAACCAAATCCAAGCACTGCGAGAAAGTGGTGTGGTTAGATAGAGACGACATGAGCCACCCATTCATATAGTTTTCTCATAGATTTCTTTGAACAACTCGTGATGTCCGGCTTGTCAAATCAGGAGGCGTGTAAAAGTTCATGATGGCCTTGCGGGTTAGGGTAATGCACGTGACAGCCACGTGCCTCAGAAGAACGGACCACCAAGTTCCAGCACCGCGACTTCCATCATCAGACCATTCAGTGAATTATTCCAAGCATCTTGTTGCGACTCTGCTAACCGACACCTTCACAACGAAATAATCGGAATATCACCAAGAACACCTTCCAACACTGCAGACGATACAAGGGAGGCATCTGTCTTCAGTTATACATTTTATTTATGCACAACTTGTTTTCTGGGCTACTTTCGGCTTAAGGTCGCAACCCGACTCTTTCGACCAATCTCTAACAAAGCAGGTGTTACCACAGGTCATCATCATGTCTAGTTCAGAGAAGCCAAAAGAAGGGACTGTCGACGCGCCGAAAGATGCCCCCAAGACCACTCCATCCCGGGCGATTGGGTTGACACCGCGTGCTCCCAGCACCGGTCCCTCGGCAGCATACATCCCTCAGTTCTCAGCGGCTACTCAGATGATTCTCAAGCGACTGAAAGGAGAGCCTAGTAATCTCGGAGCGGCCCTTTCGCAGGCCTCTCGCTCACCGTCTATCACGGCGAGCATCCCCTCAGCCACATATGAGGATGTCAAGAGAAGACTGGTCATGAGCATGAACACATCATCCCAGATGTCCATGCAAATGCCTGCCACTGCACCACTCTCCATGAGAGCTCCCTCTGTGCCATTGCCAGCGCCCTCACTAGCTATCCCGCCATCCACCAAGAGCACCTCCGGCATGAGTGCCATCCGTAAAATCACCGCTGGCCTTACCGGCTCCTCCAAGAATACCCCTACCAAGTCCTCTACTGCCCCAAAGGTCCTCTCCTCCGATAGCAAAGTCAAGAAAGCCAAAGGCAAACCCAACAGTCGGGCCACCGGCCATAGTAACAAACATCGCCAGCGCCTCAAAGGCCAGTCAGCAGATAACAGCGGCATCTCCGACTCGGATTCAGAAGTAGAAACCCCTACCACCGCCAGCACCGGCAATGGCCCCTTCTCAGCCGGCGGTGGTGGTGACAGCACCCCAACCGCCACCATGACCAAATCCGGTAGGCAGGTTCAGAAGCCCGACGCCTACAACCCAGCAGCCATGGAAGCGGCCACCAAGAAACGAGTCCACTACGGCAAGCGGACCGCCGAGCAGGCTCTCTGCAAGAAGTGCAGCAGGATGCACTCCCCGAGCAGCAACCAGATTGTTTTCTGCGACGGGTGTGATGCGGGCTGGCATCAGTACTGTCACGACCCGTTCGTGTCAGATGACATCGTCAAGAACACGAGCAAGAACTGGTTCTGCTCGGAGTGTGCCGCCAAGAAGGAAAGACAGGGCAGTCATGCGAAGAAGCTGAAGCAAGAGCATGTTCACAGGGGGCCGCCAAAGAAGGAGAGCTGGGCTGGGAAGAGCGTCCAGCAGAAGAGAGCGTACTTGTCTACCTTGCCAGCACAGGAGCTTGTTGGTTTGTTGATGACGAGCTTGGAGCTTCATCCTGATTTGCCAATTTTCCCTAGTCCGGTGGTGGACACGGGGGTTGACGCGAGTGGTGCGCCGAGGGGGCTGTTTGCCGGGGGTACAACAGAAGGTTTGTTTACGAGGGCGAATGCTAATCCTACTGGGCAAGGGGTATGGTATCCTTTTTTTTCCTTTGTCAAGGTTCTTTGCTTTTACTCTCCTTGAGATGATATGTTCAGCTTGCTAACGAGGGTGTTGACAACAGATTAATTTTATGAGAAAGGTCCAGTCCAATGGGAGTGCGAGAGGTAGCCAGGATCGGACGGCTGGGCAGCAGGAGGAGGAGGACGAGGAAGATCCACTGACGTTATTGTGGCCGAAGCCGGGGAAGGGACTGTATGCTAGGCTTGGGGCTGATGTTCTGGATGAAGGGGGGCTTTTGGATGCGGAAGGGGAAGACTTTGAGGCGTTCAGCTCGATAGTATATGATGATCGCGGGAGGAAAGTGTTGGAGAATGGGATGAAGGTTTAAGGGTGGTTATGGGGTTGGAGCTTGACTGCCCAAAGGTCTCACGAACGGGCAAGGCAAGGCAACGCACAAAGGAAAGAAGAAGGCAGAGTGATGTGCATCATGGAAGAGGCCGGGTTAGATTCTGGCTTGGGCGCATCGCTTTTCTTCTACCTTAGCCATGCTTGGGATGGAGGCTCTACAAGCTTATATATGGGACCATGCGCGCCCGCGTGTGATAGTGACCATGTGAATAGCTAGTAGCGGATTTAGCCATTCTTCTGTTGTACCATACACTTGTAGCAATAAGTAAGTACCTACTACTGTATGTACTCCACAGCATGACTTTCTGGAGGTTGTACCCATTGCCATCAGCGTTTTGTTCCTGCATCACTCCACTGGACACCAACCTCGTCACGCAACACCAGAGATGGCTTCAGCCAAAAAAAAAAGACATGACCCATCAACAAAGCCAAAAGAAAGAAGATGACAGCAAAAGAGGAGACAATATCTCCATCAACAACGCCCATGGCGAGACTCGAACTCGCAACATTCAGATTAAAAGTCTGACGCGCTAACCAATTGCGCCACACGGGCTTCTTTGTGTTGGTGATTGTTTGTGCTTCGAATGTCAGCTCAAGTTGCTGGTAGCTGGCTGCGCCACCACAAAGACGTTGAGTTTCCCTTACATACACATATTCTTCTTCGGGAATGTCGCTGTCGGGTAGACGTCACGGTAGTGCCATTTATGGGATTCTTGCTGACGAGTCTACGAGATGTTGTCATGTGGGTTTCTAAAGCTAGGAGAAACAGCAGCATTTCACCGAATGTAGGTAAGTAGATGCCTTGCTATCTTTGTTTCCACTGAATGGATGATGGGTTCAATACTCAAGTATTCACCAACTGCACTTCCCCCTCCTCTTCTTTTTTCCCATTCGATGTTCCCTTCCTACCCATCAACCCAGTACTCCAACGCCTTACAATACCCTCGCCACTCTTATGTTCCCGTTGCCCCTTTGGCTGAAACACTGACATCATCCACTTGGCCAACCGACTGATACCACCCAACTTGAACGCAGAAGCGATATGCTTGTGAATATACTGTCTAGTTGAGTGTCCGCGGATAACTTCACTCTGGCAAACCACTTTTTCCGTGCTAAAGTCATCGCCCCGGGAGTCACCTCGCTTTATCAGAGCGGGGGAGATGGTCAACGTGACGCGGTTTGCGTGGGATTTGGCGGTACGGTGGCGTCCTGCCATGGTGGTGTCGTCAAAGGTTATCCCGTGGTGTGGTGGGCGGTCATGACGATGGGCAGGATAGGCGCAGTACCACTAGACTGTTTAGAGGGCGAGACTGGCCTGGAGGGAGATGGCATCTCGGAAGATTGTTTCAAGCTCCTTATCATCGCTGGTAAAGGTTGCTGGATGTAAGAATGCTTCGAGTTCTTTGCGCAGTTGGACAACCGCGAAAACAGCCTCTTGGCTGCTGGGCGAAAGGGGGACAAGAAGCTGTGAGGAATACTGCTTCAAGCTTGCAATTATATCCGTGTTTGATAGCAGTCTTGCCTTCGAGGCTACAGAACTCGAAGGTCAGTGGCTCGTTGTGACAAAAAACAAGACCTCAAAGCTGGACATAGGGACTTACTTAGATCTTTGAACTCGTGAGTGGGCTCCCCACCCCAAAGCATTCCCACAGGATGCGGCTTTATTGGGAGAAGAGAGTCAACAAGAACGTGACAGACAGCTGCTTAAAGAAGAAGAGCAGGGTTGCTGGCTTTGCCGAGAGAATGGGTTGCTTTCTGTATTGCTTTGGAGGTTTCGTGGGAGTTGTTGGTGATGAAACAACACCGGAATCTGGTCTCAATTCGCCACGTGACTCCTCGCCGCTTTATCCAAACTAAATCAGTCGGAGCTCAGGACCGGCTTATCTTCGGCTCCGGTCCGCTCACTCAGCTCATGGTTTGCTCAGGGTTTGCTTAGGGTCTGCTCACCTTGTTTAGGGTCTACTTACCTAGCTCAGGATTTGCTCAGGGTCTACTTACCTTACTCAGGAGCTACTCAAGGTATACTCACCCTACTCAGGAATTACTTAGAGCTTACTTATTCTACTTAAGGATTACTTAGGGATTTCTTATCTTATATAGGGATTACTTAAGGTATACTTACCTTATTTACTACGTAACGTTAGTAAATTAGGTACTCTCTGTCACGGCTTGACACTTGGTGGGGCGCGGGGCGCACCACGGACCAATCAGAACAGGATCAATAGGATCGAGGATCGATCCAGGAGAGTCAACCCCAAAAGGGACAGTATCGATAGGATCGATGGTCGAGTCTATCGATCCAGGACAGTGCCAGGCTTGGCACTGGGTCTATATATACGGAGGAACTGGCTGGTGTAGATAGACAGTTCCGCAGTATGCAATACAAGTCACAATCGTGGTATCTTAGCTGTTGTGATTGAGACATCTTGTTGTGCACTGTTTAGCTGCACCGAACCAATTGTCAGAAGTTACCTTCAACCAGTATCCCTTTCAGAGGTTCTGTACAGGGGTTCATCACACACAATCTGCGATCCCCTTAACTATCTCTAGCGACACGCATTTGCGCTCCAGGATACCCTCCGATTCAAGCTTAGCCGTATTGGGTTCTGCAATTTGCGTGCAGCTTATGTCCCGCATAACCGATTAAACACTGAAATCGTGTAAACTATCATGGTGGACGTCTCTACTGGGTCATTTTAAGTGCTAACTCCTAACACATATCTGCTTCAACACCACGCCTAGGCATCGCCAAGACCACGGCACAAAATTTATCGAAGTCAAGGCCCGGAGCGTTGGTTGCTTATTGCTTCTCTTAGCTGAAATTGTAGAAAGGGAATGACCAAAGAATTTGTCAGTGGGGACATCCTTGGAAGAAGTTCCCACCAAATTGGGAGCTTGCCACCAGCACTCCCATGCGGAAATTTGATATGTTGCGTGTTTCTTCTGTTGCTTAGCTCCTTTTATGATTATCATTCTGCATCTTCCTTGCTCCTTTCCTCCGTCAAGCCAACAGCGTCTCCCCTCCAAAATAATTCCGACCATAACGCCGTCAAGCATGATGGTGTTTCCAAACCAGACTCATAAGCGTGGTCTATCATTTCCAAATGAAGGGAATCCGCCCAAGCGACGTTAGATACATTAGCCTCCTGTTGAGCCTACTGCTGGCACGTCGCCCGCCGGCAGCCAGCAACTTATTGAACCTTCTTTTCCGAAGCCAATGGCAGGCCAGTTCGAAGACTTTCTAGTAAGTGTGCCGAATTCGACTGTAACGCCAGTTGACAATTACCAGGTTTACGGGCAGCTGTGGAACGGCGGCGATGAGCTTGACCGCAGTGAACACGAGCCAGACGACGATGCAGACTCCGCTATTGGCTCGTCTGTAAGTATTCTCTTTCCCCTGTCGACTGCAATACTAACAGCAGAGAACAGTTCTACGACGACGAGTTAGTGACTCTAAACGACATCGACACCGTCGAGGAAAATTTCCCCAAGTATTACGATCCACGCAGATATCCGTGGCCTCATGACGATCAGGAGAAGAAGCGTATGGAGGTTCTACATGAGCTGTGCTGGTTAGCACATGATAATCGAATAGCGCTCTGTCCCGAGGAGAAGTATCGCAACGTTCTCGACCTTGGTACCGGTGATGGTACATGGGCGATAGAGTTTGCTGACATGCACGAGGAGGCAACCGTTATTGGTGTTGATATGCACCGCTTTCAGCCAACTTTCGTGCCTCCAAACTGTGAGTTCCAAATTGATAACCTTGAAGAGGATTGGACATGGAGCGGTTGTTTCGACTTTATACATGCGCGGATGTTGTCCGGGTGCTTTAAGAAACCGAGACACATCGTAAGCAGCGCGTACAAGTATGTTACCTTAGAATCCCAAGGTTATATAAATGCTAATGGAGTTTGTATGGTAGACAGCTGACACCAGGCGGTTATTTCGAGGTTACCGACATACTCTACACCCCAAAGTCCGATGATGGAACACTTGTTTCCAATTCACCCCTCCGCACATGGGCAAATCAACTTGCTAGCGCGGCCAGGGAGATAGGCCGCCCTCTTATTGGAGACGCTTCTGAGTATCTGGATATGCTCAGCGAAGCGGGCTTTGTGGATATCCATGTGGTTGTTAAAAACTTGCCCACCAACTCCTGGCCGAATGACAAGACACTGAAGGAAATCGGGAAAATCAGTTCACTCGCCCTTGAGCTTGAGACGATTTCTATGGCTCTCTTTACGCACGGCCTGGGTTGGGACCCCGAAGCAGTCATTGCCACATGCGCTCATGTCCGTGAAGAATTTAAGTCGCCGGATGTTCATGCATATTTCCCTTTAATTATTGTCTACGGGAGGAAGCCATGTCGGCCGGGTAGCGTAGAAGAAAGATGATGGGGAATGAGGCTTCTCCTCTTCTCTCCCTTTAGATCCCACGGAAGGATCTTGTCCGTCGAAGAGAAAGCCCGACGACGGAATGTTGGGTTCCGGCATACCGCCGAAGAGACGGAGAAGAAGTCTGAAAGGGAGGGGTTTGAGGTTGAAGTAGTGAATACGGTATGGCCGACTTCTGAACACCCAGCCACGCCAGGCCGGCACGTTATTTCAAGGTATGCCGGATTAAGAATAGCCTTGTTCCGTACGCGGTGCATTTGAAGCGGCCTCCTTGAGCGGCCGCTCCAGATGCAGTCGGTGTGATTGAGCCTATGCAAAGTGATCGATCATTCGGGCGCCTCGCATAGAGCTTCGTCTTTAATCCAACTGTCCCACCGGTACCGAGTCATGTACGAGACTGTTTTCAGACAGTGTGTCGGCAGTGTTGAGTCCCGTGTGACACATCACCACCAGGAACAAGAGGAACTGTCGAGGACTTTATCTGTCTTCCTCACCCTTCAAGGATAGCAGCCAGTCCCCGTTCGTCTCCTTGCTCCTCCAATTCTCTCTTGCATCTTACAGCTTGCCCACTCAAATTGGCCACTACTGTAGAGCAGCTGATTGATATTTTCCATGCGACCAAGCCTGCGTTTTCTGAGGATCTTCGCCCTAGTCTCAGTCAGAAGTCCTGGACCCATGCATTCCAGACAATAAATCGGCGAGTTGTCTACAGGCCAACGAAGGCAAGCATCGATGAGTTTTTAGGCCCTGACCTCGACAGGCTCTATCGCGGGCCCTCGGAGGTTGACAATGTTGGTCTCCAGAACCCAGCATATCCTCTGAATGTGGCTGCCCAACCGATCTTGAACGAAGGGGACGTAGAATGTGATTTTCACCAGCATTTTGAACCTGCCTCTCGTCTAGCTTTCACTGGTCAGCCATTCATGTGGCCAAGATCCCAAGCAGGGCCGACCGGACCAACCAACACGAATGTCACGGTCGACTACCAATTGACCTGGCCAGGACCAAGCCACCTACTTGAAAGAGCGGCGATGATAGGAGAACTGAAGCAGCCCGCTGTTATCATCCCCGAAGAATGGACTACGAATCGGAACCCATCAACTACAACGCAAAGACTCCAAAGAGAGATGAGGGGGTAAGTGACAGGTCTTCATTGGTTTATTTCTTAAGGCTTATCGGAGAGAAAGATACGCATATCATTACCAGTGCCTCAAGTCTTCGTCTTCGATTCGGTACACCTCCTCCTTTGGCAATTCCGAGCCCAGAACAGAGACCAGATTCGAAACGAAGCGTGCCATGTCGATTGCTGCGTCATACCCCGGTACTACATTTCCGAAGATCAATGCACGATCCAGTATGCACTCTACCGATTGGCTTGGAGAGGTTGGGCGCGTCTTTCGGCAACGTTGGCAGGCCAGAATTCTACGCGAATGCCACTCGCCGTTGCTCTTGACGGAATACCTCGCGCATACGAGTGGTGGTCAGGAACGCCGCTGTGGGAAACGGCTCATGGTCGTTACGAATTTGTTCACCCAAATGGGTGGAAACGCCAGTTTGTCAGACAGGGGACTGACGGATATTGGATTTGGGTGGATGATGGCGGTAACTACTCGAATGGGGTGCTGGTGTGTGACACTGGAAACTGTTTGCAGTAGTGTCGGCTACTTGCAGGAGGCTGGCGGGGGTCTGCGTCAGATTTCACGAAACATTTTTAGTTCCTAACCCTCTCAAAATTTCCTTCAAACCAGGTCGCAGGTTTCTCACCATTTAAATTGCCAAACCAGTTTTCTCACTATGGATGGAGATGGCGAGCCACTACTACAAAATGCCGAGCCTCCTTTGGTAAGCTAGCTAGCGTAGGCCTTACGATCGGTGCTAACACTGTTAGGAATTTCGTCTCGGCAGCCGGCTTGTCGTTGCTAAGAAAGCCAAGTTGCTAGATCCGCGCAGGACTGTGTACCGCTTGGACCTTAAACCACCACCTTTGCTCATCGCGCTGATTCAACCCGTCGTTTCTCTTTGCCCCTGGATAAAGGCGCGTTGGCCTGAGTGGTTTTTACCACCGACAGTGATCCTCAAGAAGCGAAAAGCCGACTGGGAAGAGGAGTTCGAAAAAGAGAAGCAGGTTTATAACGTCTTGAAGCTGATTCAAGGGAACATCATTCCGCATTTCTATGGCGAAGCGGTGTATGATGGATCCCCGACATTGATTTTGTCATTCATCGACGGGAAGACCCTATTCGAGCTTCGGCACGATCTCTCCGAAGACGACTTGCGACAGGGCCTTGAGAAGGCTCTCGCTGCTCTGACATCATACGGAGTCGAGTATACCGATATGAAACTCGACAACTTTTTCATGGTAGATGGCGGGCGAGTGATGGTTATCGACCTTGAGCAGGTGGAGCTCGATACCACAAAGGTCTGGGAGGAAAGCGTCAACCGTGCCAATGTTCAAGGTTTCATGGACATATTGAATATAAGGCGCAAATTGGCAGCTCATTCTATCATGGGAGCATAATTGTGGATCCGGACAGAGATCTCTTGCTGTGGTTGATTGGAGAAAGCGGAGGAAGCGGAGGAAGCGGAGGAAGTTTTGTTTTCGGAAATAAGCAGAGTGTTTTCCTTTTTACTTCCACATTGACTCGCAAACTGCTTCCAGACTGGATGAAGTGGCTCTCAAATTAACCATGTTGTACGTGCTCGCCATGATGGAATGTTGTTGGGTGACCGCTGTGGGGCCTTGCACCCCGAGTCGACCGACCAGAATCAACGCATTACACGACGTACCGAAGAGGGCACGCCGGCGATACCAAGGAGCCGAGGGATATTTTATAGAATCTTTGTGTTTTCAACAAACCAAACTTGGGTGTAAAAGCAACCTGCTAGCGGTTTCCTTTGTGCTTGTTTCCGATTCTGGTGCCCTTGGAGAAAGTACGTAACTCGATAAGCTTGAACTCCCGATCTTCCACGATGATCTGCTAAAAGGAAAAACTCTCCCAACCCTGCGCCGTATCCATAGCCGTCGCCAGAGTATCTCTAGACGGTGAGGTTGTTGGGTTGATATATGATAGAAGGGAGGGAGAAACCCAATTCGCATAGAACAAACCTCCGCCTAACTGCTCGTCCGCTCTCGGCGTTCCCAAATCGTAGTCCATTCCCGGGGGTATCTGCCCGCCCATCATCATTGTTGTATTCTCCATCTTACAGGACCCTTGCGATAGACGGGCTTGGTTGGTGATAACGCGGGCTACACAGCGGCGCTGTTGCTGGACAAAGACCACAAGCCCTCGTCTGATTTAAGTGTGCCATCTTTCAAACCTGAGACTCTAGAATGCAGTTCGACAGGGCCTAGAAAGTTGTCGATGGATCCCATGGTTCCCTCGTGAAAGGTTACATGTCGCGGATGCAGCATGCGATAGCCGTCGGCCCAAGCCTTACGGCTTACACTAGGTTGCGGGTTTAAGGTTAAGGAAGGCGTATCGTAGAAGGCATGAATCAGACTTCCTACAGTGGAGCTCATCTTGAGACCATGCCGCTGCTAGACTGCGGTGGAAGAGGTCTTTTCACCAGACCGCCATCAGACTACAAAGATGTACATGTGGTCGAGTCGCGTGGTTTCGTTGCCATTGACTGGGGGAATTAAACACAACGCAGAATGTCCGATACGCGCACAGTGGCGGAAGCTAACATTGACAAACTTAATGTGACCTCCATTGGGTTTGTAGTCTTGTTCTCCGTCCCGGACTGCACATTCCGCGTCCATGATGTGTCTCAATTTGACAGCGTCCCCAAGAGTCTTAACCAAGTTCCCAACCAAGGAAGTAACGAACGTAACATCGCTATTACGATCGTGGACAGTAGTTAAGCAAACAAATGGTGTCGACCCTTCTTCCCAACTTCTGTTTCAAGCCAATCCCCAGATTGTCCTTTGTCTTCTCTTCTCAGAAAGATGAAGAGCTTGGGTCAAAACTCAAACCAGTAACCTTGTCTTTACCCTATCCCTCAAGCTATCTTTCTCCTCTAGCGTAGGGTCATTCTGCCTTATCTCCCGGAGCAAATCACTAAACTCAAGAAAACACCCCAGTCGAGTGACCTAAAGACCGTTTCCATAGGCGCCGTCTTATATATAGTGGGTACTTGTCGTCGGTATTAATCCAAGGGCTTTACTACGCCGCCGGCGTTAAAGACCTTGCCGGAGCCTCTGGTTAGTTTATAGCGGAAGGGAGAGCCTAATACCTTTAAGCTCCTATCATGGTGGGCGAGTAGAGGAGGAAGCTTATGATTGTCTGAGCTTTCTTAGGAAATAAATATTGTATAGGAGACCATGAGCTGATAGGGAAGAGAGCTGAGCTGTCCTTGAGAACTAAGGAGTGATAAGAGGTTATAAGCGGTTGGTATTGGAAAGGAGAGCCTAAGGCCGTATAATCTTGGTTATTGCGGCGTGGTTTCTGATGTGTATCGATGGAAATGCAGTTCTGTAGGTTCAAACTTGCATTCATCGCACCGAGACTTTTTGGCTGACTCATTGTATAGTATTTGCTTTTGAGCGCCTCTGTAAATGCGAATGGACTTTGGTAAGTGTAATTTTGGTATCTTGAGCCGTTTACCTGCGGTGTGCAGATGCATTATATATTATAGAGCTGCAGATTAAGGAGCTATGATATTGGGCCCCGGGACGGAATAGAACCCGTACTTAGCAGTACTTGCGGTAGTCGGACATGCGCTAAGATTATTGCGGAAAGCCCGGTACCGCAGGATCATCCTCGCAACGAGCAACAAAACGGACGTGTTGACACTGAAGAATCCACGCCAGCAGTCAGGACAGCAATATATCTACGAAGCGTACGACGCTATGACAGCTGTCCGGGACGCTGGGAATACGATCTCGGTTGTCTGGATTCCAAAGAGCGCCCAAAACGAAATCCTGTCGCTGTGGGCGTCGGCGGGGCATTCGTGGGTTTATCATCGGAAGGTTGACTTGACCGATCACCGGGCGCGGTTTGCTTGTGTAACTGTGACAACTCCCCACCGAGGATGGACAAGACGGTCAAGCCTATGTGTCGTTTCCGATGTCCAATGAGGGCTCTGGAATATGGAGACTGGCAGAAATTGGTTGATGATGAGGGGATGGTGACCCGAATTAGGCTCAAGAACGTTATGCTGTCGATGATCTTTGATGGTGAGCTCAGGTGTATGTTGAGGACTGGAGATGATCATGCGGAGTTTGAGCTGGAAATGGAGGCTGTTGTAGAGTCGGAGATGGAGGATGGATTTGAGGGACGCTGCCGGATTGGATTCCTCTAGAGGGGATGTTTTTTTCATTTCTTTGCACCGCTTTCTTGCGGATTTCGTTTGTATGAGGGCGTGGCAGTCTTTGAGAGTTAAAGTTCGGTTGTTGGTAGAAGTTTTGTCATTTCTTCAAGTGCGCAGGGAGAAACTTTTGGATGTTGAGAACATCATTGTGGGATCTAATAGAGTAATTGCAATGTTTACTTGCTCCATTCCGGGTTGTCTGCAAGGCACCTAGTGCTTTCTTATAGTGTTGAAGAAAGCATCTTGCCCCTGATCAGTTGCCACAGTAACGGTTTTCTTCTCAAAATCAACAAACCTTGGCATACTCCACTCTCTGTAGGAAAGGGGTACCAAAGGGCTGGTTCACGCCAAGATAAATGAACGTTCTAATGGCCGGAGCGAAAGGTCCGAACCTCGTTGACGTCTTCTTCCGGTGACGTTTGCAAGCATGGAGTTTCTGATGAACATCCAAGATAATCAATGCCGGTCTCTTCGCTGGCACTATTGCCGTAAACCCCGCCGATAACAGCTGCATGGGTCTTGAACCCCACGATGCTATCTCTAATCAACAGTATAACCGTGACTAACTGAAGGTCCAGCAAAACTATTCGATCCTGTCTTCATATCCGCCAATCACACACGCAGTGTCGTCATCAGCCAAGCTTTCCCAACCATCAATTAGCTGGCTCTTATCTGGCAGTACCCGGCATCTTTGCCAGCCACCCCCGCGATATGGTCCAAGATTCGACATTCAACCAGCAAGACTGCATCCCGGGAACCCGGATCCGAGCACGGTGGTGTGGATGAGGTAACGTCCCGCTGAGGAAATGCCGTGATACTGATGAGGGCACTGCTATATAAGATGGACCACGACATCTGAATCGGACAGAAGAAAGACATTCTCATCCTCATTCTCAACATCCTAGAGGAGGAACTGGCATCATGACAAGACTTGCAAGACTTCTCATTGCTGCCTCTGCGGCCTGGCTGGGGTTTGCAGGTATCGGGAACTGCTCGACAGGTATTGTTTAACTGACCTCAAGTTAAAAGAATGTCTAGCTGACCAATGCCACAGTCAAGGGCGTCCCTTTCCCCAGCCTCACCGAGGTCACCATCGATGACCTGGAGGAAGGACTCTCAAGAGGTCTCTTCACCAGTGTCGACCTGGTCAAGGCCTACTTGGCACGCATTGAACAGGTCAACCCTCTGTTACGAGCCGTCAATGAGGTGAACCCAGATGCCCTCGACATTGCCGCTGAGCTGGATGCTATGCGTGCCAACGGGACCACTCTCGGTCCACTTCATGGCATTCCCATTCTGATCAAGGACAACATTGCCACAGCGGACAAGATGAACAACACTGCTGGCTCCTTTGCACTGGTGGGCGCGAAGGTTCCTCATGACAGTACCATGGCGGTGAAGCTGCGTGCGGCTGGCGCCATTATCCTCGGCAAGGCCAACCTCAGTCAATGGGCCAACTACAGGAGTAGTAACTCGTCCAGTGGTTGGTCAGCGTATGGTGGTCAGGCAACCGGGGCTTACTATCCCAACGAAGACCCCGGCGGTAGTTCCAGCGGCAGTGGCGTTGCTGCATCCATTGGTCTTTGTCTTGCGACCCTTGGTACAGAGGTCTGTAACAACAGCAATCTCACAACATGATCCTGAAACTGACACCCATCCAGACCTCCGGATCAATCATCTCCCCATCCCAGAAAGGATCTCTAGTCGGCATCAAGCCCACCGTCGGCCTCACCTCCCGCTACCTCGTCATCCCCATTTCCTCCCACCAAGACACCATCGGCCCCATGGCCCGCACCGTCAAAGACGCCGCCATCATCCTCCAAGCCATCGCCGGCCACGACCCCAGAGATAACTACACATCCACCATCCCCTGGGAGGACTCCAAGATCCCGGATTACGTCTCCGCCCTCAGCGCCAGCTCCCTCTCGGGGGCAAGAATCGGCATCCCTTACAACACCCTCAACCCCAACGCCAGCACGGTAGAGATGACCGCCTTCTGGTCCGCCATCGACACAATGAAATCCGCCGGTGCCACCATCGTCGGCGCAAACTTCACTGTCCCCTCCCCTAACACAACCTCCATCGTCCTCGGCGCAGACTTTGTCTCTGACCTCGCAGTGTATCTTGATTCTCTATCGCACAACCCTTACAACCTCCACACCCTAGAAGACATCCGCAACTTCACCCAAAACTCCAGCCTGGAGTTCTTCCCCGACAGGGACACCGCCCGTTGGGACGGCGCGCTCGAGCTCGGGTACAACAACTCTGACATTCGCTTCTGGGAGGAATACCAGCGCAACCTCTATTGGGGTGGCGAGGGCGGTCTTTTGGGAGCGATTGAGCGAAATGATCTTGACGCGGTGGTGTTACCCACCAGTCAGGCTGCTGCCAAGGCGGCGATTCAGGGGGCACCGATTGTGACGTTGCCGTTGGGGTATTACCCTGCCACATGGAACGTTACGAGGAACGCGAGGGGGTTGGTGCAGCAGGGGCCTAATATTCCTTTTGGGATCAGCTTTTTGGGCGGCATGTTTGAGGAGGAGAAGTTGCTGGCTTTGGCGTATGCGTTTGAGCAAAGGACTTTGGTGAGGAAGAAGGGGCCGAGGCCGGTGATTGTGCCGAATTTGGAGTTAGGGGATTTTGTGGGGTTTTGAAAAAGGGGGGGGGGGTTGAGGAGATAGAATAGATGAATGGGAGTGATATGTTGAAGATCAGGATATGACTGTTGATGAAAGTTGTAGTGCACTATCTGAGGAAAGAGAGAACTTTGGTTAAGTAACCAGGTACCTATCTACCCAAGTTTTATGCTCAGCCTCAACGCCTTCATTCCTTACAACGTGTAGTTTGCCATCCGATCACGATCAAGGTCACACTGGGATCATGTGACTCTGTTGGGGCGAGGCCGTCAAAATAAGCCTCATTGACCATGTCCTTATAGTTGCTTTCTTGGTCCAGCCATAAAGCCTCAGCTGTGTCACGATCAAGCAAGCTCCATCCATAAGTACGGTAATGTCTAGTACGGAAATAGTCCGCGGCATCAGAACGGACTATTATGTTGCAGTAATGGTCCGCGTTATCATAAGTGACTATTGCGTCGTGGAAAATTGGCACGGGGTAGCGCCTTTTTTGCGATAAACCTCCGGTATCGTGAAGAAACTGTTGGCGTAGCATAACCACGCATGATTTGGTTGCTGAGCTGCGTCCTGATTCATTGCTGATCTAGACTGTAAGTCGATTTCAGAGGAGGGGCGGGTGGTGGCTGCTGGTAACTTAACGCCAACAACCTCCTGCAGGATGGTCGCTACATGTCGGGAGTCTCTGAACACCGGCTTAAACACTTAACACTGGCGGCTCCGTTCACATTTATACTTGCGAAGGCTGGCCAATATCTGCATATTCATGTCAGTAGGTATAACGCATCAAAATCCTGTCCGAAATGAACTTACGATGGGATCGTAGTATGTTCGTGGCGTTTCCTGCTGGCCGATTTCAGGGTCGAGGGGCAATGTGACGAGCGTTCCAAGACCATCCCACGAGCTTGGTTCATTCACCATGCGGGCGATGGTATACATTTTCTTCATTCACCATATGGGAGATAGTCGCCATTTCTTCAACTCTCCAGTGATGCATTCCCCAAACAAACAGGCGCAAGGCCAGTCGGAACTGAGGTATAGGTTCATGAATGAGCATAGCAACCAGAAGGGAATCGAGACCTTTCGGTGCGCGAAAGTGGTGGTCTGACGGGGCCGGTAGCTTCGCTCGCCCTCAAGAATGCCCGGTCCCACCGCTGGTATAACCCCTTCATGACCAGAACTTGATCCTTTGGTTTTTTGTGGCGAACAAGTTTCCCTCAGTCGGATTGTTCTTGAAGATCTGGTATTTCAGGCAATCGAACCCAGGCTGGTACTTCGCATTGACGGCGTGTTATGTATATTTGTTCAGTGGTGAATGGGGGAGTCACTCTCTCCGCAACACGAGCTTGATACGCTAGAAACCCCTCAATGAACTTGGTCGATTGTTGGTTCCAACGGCAGAGATCAGACAAGAAACGAAGTCTGCGAAGTTGATCCTCTTTGGTCGTGGGCTCGAGCCGGCTGAGTACGTCATCTAAGCCCATGACAGGGGAGGGCTGAAGCAAATCGGCGATGACATCAAACTTGTGCTTCCGAGAGGGAAAGAGCTCGAGATATTTTTGGAACTCCCGGTATTGTCTATCGCTTGAATAAATGTGTTCGGAGACCTCTGGGTATGTTAATGTGCAGGAATGTAATCATCGAACTCACGGCGACTCTCGTCATCTTCTGAGAAAAGCCCATCCCAGAATACGCGTCCCTGTGGATCCTCTTCAAGAGGTGCTTTACGTTCTAATTCGGCAAGCCGGGCAAGTTTGATGGCGGCAACGAGAGCTGCAGGTGCATCCCTGAATCGTCTTCTGACTCGGACTACCATGTAGGAGAGCAAACACTCGTGTAAGGCTCTACAGGAGCAGCTCAAGCTTGTGATACTGATTGTCAATGTCGAGTTCGTCAAGGATTCCACATAGTAGCGCGGTGATGTTGACACAGGAGAGCAAATTGGGCGCCATCACTGTGAGGCGTTTGTGTGTCAGATTCGACGACACGCAATGAGAGATCGATTGTCAAGTAGGAGGGTTGAATGTCAAATTCCGAGAGTTCCTTTTTTGCTTGGAAAAGTGTGCGCGTGGGGAACTCAAAGAAAAGAAAATCAAAACGCCAACGGCTATTGCCGATAAGGTAGATTGTGGCGTTTCACTAGGGTTTAAACTTCTCGTGTTAGTCGATGGTTGAGTTGATGGCTTTTACGCTTTTGCCGCCTTTGTCACATGTTGACTCCGCAGCTTGGTTGCCCTCATTTACCATCATGAAGGTTGGTGACGTTATCAATAGTGAGCACCCACTCACCTCCTTATGTAATTTCTGTGCGCTGCAACAAAAACAGTATCGTACGTGGATCAAGATAGATCTCAAGTGCATTATCCACTCGCTCAATCAAGCTCCTGATCAAACCCTCAGATGACACTTCATATTCCCGATACACGAAATCACGGCCTGTCCAAAATATATGATACATGGTAGCCCTTGGTACTCTTTATAGTCATTATTCTTGTTTGTATAGTGTGAATACCTAAGCTTGCCTAGATATACACTGCATTGGTGTCACCATACAACCCGATTGTTCGAAACCATACCAGGCGCTCATGGTTTAAAGTTATATGCGACTGTCCATGATGTACCTTCTGTCTCTCTAAGCTTTCACAACACAAGACATCGGCCTTCATAGCTGAGAACTCGGATCTCCACGAGTTCACCCTGCCATAGCGTACAACATCGCGTAAATCCAGGCACACAAGACCACGGCCCCTGGCAGACTCAACCTCTATGCTTATGGGACCGTTTTACAACATGGCCCAAGTAATTATTAGTCGATCGATGGAGAAACCATCATCATGCACCCCGTCAAACACATTATTGAAAGGCCCACGAGTACGGAGCCAAGACGTAGGCTCGCGGTACAACAGGTAGGCAATGATCAACTGATCCTGGATCCCTGTGACTGATGCTAGTTCCGAGACGCTCCTGCACAACACTTGGCCATGTAGAAAATCATTCCATGGCCAGTCGCGAACACGGATGCTTTTGAAGACCAAGACGACGAAAGCAGCCAGAACCCAGCAATATGTGGTGATGTTGAAGGGATCTACTTCAGGAATCCTGTCGCCAACTGTGATGCCGATTGATATTCCACCAATAACCAAGGAGGCACTAAGGGCAACAACAGCTGATACGTACAACCTGCATTGAACCATGACACCCTTCTCCTCCAAGACCCACCTCTTCATCTCGTGGTTGGCTGAATCGAGCGCTGACTGGTTTCTCTTGACAACCTCTAGGTGACTCTTTTCTGACTTGCCAAATAAAAATGGCGTTCGAAATGGCTTCGGGGGTCGGGAAGTAGCCAAGTCGAACGCAAAGCTGCTTGCACGACCAATCTTGCCCACGGCTTTGCCGCTCACCAAGCCGTTTCGGGTGATGGGTGAATTAGAAAGCGACCGAGACTCTTCAGGCCCACGCGAGTACTGTAATTTCCGGTACTCTTCCGTGTCGAGACAGTAAAATGCAAAGTATTTCGGATGGGGCTGTAGCTCGATTGTCTGGCTGGCGCTGCCCTTGAGAAATAAATCACGCTCTGCTATACCGCGCAGGAGTCTGTTCAAGCTGTCCGCCACTGACGGAAGAGTAAAGACCCATGGGATGATCACGGCAATGACGTTACTCATTGACCCGAGATCGAGTCTTTTGCGACGCTGATTTCCTTCGGGAGACTCTTGTTGTTCGGCGTTCTTGTTAAGAATACTCCACGATACATGCGTCCCTACGGAGGCTTCGCGAGGGTCCGGCGGTGAAAAGCGTTGCCCCCGGGCAAAGGCAGAGCCTATTCGGCCAGCCATCCTTTTGGACTTGATATGGCCAAGGGTGAGGTTAAGTTGATGAAATGCGTGACCAGCACAGCTGATCATGGTGGGATCTGAGCTTCCTTCATAGTTTTGGTCCTGGTCCTGGCAGATAAGCGTCTGGAAGTGTTCCAAACCTGTCTCGTAGACCATGCTGCTAATTTCATATGTCGTCAATGAAGTTGTTCGTAGTTTGTGATATCCCGTTCATTTGTGGAGGAGAAGATTCCAAAGATCCAGTATTCCCCGTCGGAACTGTGAACATCGTCCAAAGTATTCTTCTCGTAAAAGGGCCCTCTTGGATCTTGGTGCTGTGGGCTGGTCTTCGTTGCAAGTAAAGTCCAATGAAACACGAACTCTCCTAACAACCACGATGCTAGCAAGCCTCTCCAGATGGCCCTGCTCTGCCGTGAGACATTCTCCGTCGTACTCAACAATATCGAGTGATTGGAGTAAGGCTGTTGAGAGTTTGACGAAAGTCTCGTAGGAGGAGACGGAGTCCACCGCTAATTTGTCGGATCCTTTGAACTCTAGCGGCTTAGGGTACAACATGATGGAGGCCAGCCTGGAAACTTGTTTTGCGACAAGTAGCTCTTGAATCTCTTGGCTTGTTCCGCCGGACTGACTGAAATCATCGAACACCGGGAGATTCTTTTCTTCGAGACCTGGAGCAATGTCCGGCAGGTGGAAGCGTTTGTGGATGTTGACTTGATTGAAAATCTCACTTTCGGTAATGACCCAGTTTTCTGAAGATGGTTGTGACGAACTCTTGCTTCAAATTGACAGCTTTGGTGTGTACGGAGACCTGGGTTCGTTGCTCACACCATCCCACGGAATCGCAGTGGTGAGGTTCTTGGGCCTTTTGGACACGGCAGGTAGGGAAATTTGGAGGTTGTCAAACATCGGGAGCTCCATTGTTGTGAAAGGAAAGGCCGACCAGCAGCGAACTGGATGAGGGCAAGAAATATTCGCAAGTAAAGACTTGAACTGATACAATGCCAGAATCGCTTTAAGTATTCATTTTGTCACTTTGAAGTATACCTTTTTGCTCAGAGGATAATCGGCTGCGGAACTGGTGCTCTTCCATGATAGCCGCGGGCCAGTAAAAAGCACCTGGCCCGCACTCAGGAGTCAATGTTTGGCATTAGGGCCGGTAAGGTAAGGTATGTGCTTCCATCTTCAGAATCCTGAGCAGAGATTGTGTCTGCCTGTAGCCTCCATGATTACAAAAATACAGAGAGGGAAACAACCAATGGCTTAGAATCAGAGTGCTCACCAACGCTCTGCCGTGGCAATTATAATAAGCTTTCAGACCTCCGAACGGACCTCCGATTTAACCTGGAGATCCGTATAGCTAGCGCCCGGAGTTTCAGAGACTTAGCGTACGGCAACGGAGAAGAGATTGGGGGAGGAATACGGAGCCGAAGATCTATAAGAGGCTTGCTCTTAGGACTGTTCACTGTGATATTTTCCTACCTGATAAGTCAATTCAATATACTGGTTCACCACATCTTTTAGTGCCTCACAAGCCTGTATTACTGTGATCACCTTATATATTGTAAGGCGCCGTCCCTGTGATTGATCTTCCTTTAGTGCCTAGCCACTGTCGTAGGCTGCAGATAAAGCCTCCTTCATTTTGAGTACACTGCGCCAATCACTAGTCCCCAGCGCAGGCCCACATCATACAGGCCTGCAAGATACCTATTTCAACAGTAACGCTCGAATTCGGTTAAGTAATGATTTTCGTAGCCGTCGAAGATTAATAACCGGTATTTACCTTTTATCTGGGGCGCCGTATAATAATCGAAGTACTTAATCTAATCTAGGCTTACCGTATTAATAGTCTGGCTATTATCGGTAATTGCGATACGCTAGTCGGCCGGGAGGTTATACTTAGTATATTAGTTGGCGAGGTAATACTACGCAGCTAAGATAATAAAGGGAGGAATAACTTAGCCGACAGTATTAACTCCTTAGATTCCCGTTGCCTATTCACAGTTACTAAGCTAGACTAGCTTTACCTTACTACGGCTATCCGAAGTTGTAACTACTATACCTGCAAAGATAATACCTATTATAAACCCAGTCTCGTTAAAGTTATAAATATCGTCGGCCACGATACTATACTGGTTTGGAGTGCGGCCAGAGGCCTGAGGGTATGAGTGAGGAAGTGAGGCTCTCAGAAAATTCAGGGGGGTTCAGGGGTCATGTATAAAAGCGGTCTGCTTCGGACATTCTATTTTAGACAGGACATCGACTTTTATTTTCTTCGTATTTTGCGTCTCGAACGCGTGCAAGCAATTCTGGCCCTCTGATCAGGCCAATCCGGTGCTTATTATATGGCCTGCGAGCCCATAATGTCTTTTCTTCGTCTTACGTGAAGTGCGGCCTGCGAGCGAGCCACTGTCACGCAGGTGTGGTTATTCAGAGACCTACTGAGGGTATATTTGTGGTGTTGTGGTTGTTTTGTATGTTTTCTCACCATTTCAGTAGGGTTGTTAGTAGGCTGGCTTGAAGTCGGTTCTTTAAGTGTTTAGTTCACGGGCGGCCAAGAGTCAGATGAGGATCGAAGAACATTCACGAAGCAGTTAATGTATAGTTAGGATAAAATTGTCTTTGCCCCTACGACCCGAGTAAAGACAGAGAAGTATGAAAGAAAAAAATAGATTAATGACTTCCACTAACATTATACTCTAGCTTCATCGCAATCTGCAGCTTTCAATATGTAGGCGAGCCACTGCTGCGACGCGAGCCGGTCGGGGTGCTCTTGGGTGAGGGTTTTGGCTTTAATGGCGACGACCTGCTCGAGTAGCTCTACGGCCTCTTGGACTTGGCCGTTAGCTTGGTAGGCTATTGCTAGTGTGTGCTGCGACGCGAGCCGGGAGGGGTGCTCTTGAGTGAGGGTTTTGGCTTTAATGGCGACGACCTGCTCGAGTAGCTCTACGGCCTCTTGGACTTGGCCGTTGGCTTGGTAGGCTCTTGCGAGTTCGTGCTGTGACGCGAGCCGGTCGGGGTGCTCTTGAGTGAGGGTTTTGGCTTTAATGGCGACGACCTGCTCGAGTAGCTCTACGGCCTCTTGGACTTGGCCGTTAGCTTGGTAGGCTATTGCTAGTGTGTGCTGCGACGCGAGCCGGGAGGGGTGCTCTTGGGTGAGGGTTTTGGCTTGAATAGCGACGACCTGCTCGAGTAGCTCTACGGCCTCTTGGACTTGGCCGTTAGCTTGGTAGGCTCTTGCGAGTTCGTGCTGTGACGCGAGCCGGTCGGGGTGCTCTTGAGTGAGGGTTTTGGCTTGAATAGCGACGACCTGCTCGAGTAGCTCTACGGCCTCTTGGACTTGGCCGTTAGCTTGGTAGGCTCTTGCGAGTTCGTGCTGTGACGCGAGCCGGTCGGGGTGCTCTTGAGTGAGGGTTTTGGCTTTAATGGCGACGACCTGCTCGAGTAGCTCTACGGCCTCTTGGACTTGGCCGTTGGCTTGGTAGGCTCTTGCGAGTTCGTGCTGTGACGCGAGCCGGTCGGGGTGCTCTTGAGTGAGGGTTTTGGCTTCAATGGCGACGACCTGCTCGAGTAGCTCTATGGCCTCTTGGACTTGGCCGTTAGCTTGGTAGGCTATTGCTAGTGTGTGCTGCGACGCGAGCCGGGAGGGGTGCTCTTGGGTGAGGGTTTTGGCTTGAATAGCGACGACCTGCTCGAGTAGCTCTACGGCCTCTTGGACTTGGCCGTTGGCTTGGTAGGCTCTTGCGAGTTCGTGCTGTGACGCGAGCCGGGAGGGGTGCTCTTGAGTGAGGGTTTTGGCTCTAATGGCGACGACCTGCTCGAGTAGCTCTACGGCCTCTTGGACTTGGCCGTTGGCTTGGTAGGCTCTTGCGAGTTCGTGCTGTGACGCGAGCCGGTCGGGGTGCTCTTGAGTGAGGGTTTTGGCTTGAATAGCGACGACCTGCTCGAGTAGCTCTATGGCCTCTTGGACTTGGCCGTTAGCTTGGTAGGCTATTGCTAGTGTGTGCTGCGACGCGAGCCGGGAGGGGTGCTCTTGGGTGAGGGTTTTGGCTTGAATAGCGACGACCTGCTCGAGTAGCTCTATGGCCTCTTGGACTTGGCCGTTAGCTTGGTAGGCTATTGCTAGTGTGTGCTGTGACGCGAGCCGGGAGGGGTGCTCTTGAGTGAGGGTTTTGGCTTTAATGGCGACGACCTGCTCGAGTAGCTCTACGGCCTCTTGGACTTGGCCGTTG